TGGAACCATTTTTTTGGCTTCTTATTTTTTAGTCAAGGACAAAAACTGTTTTTTTAGTTTTTCGTTCAATAAAGGATTTTTTCAAAAGTCTGGTCTGGTTCTGGTCTGGTTCAAAAGTCTGGTCTGGTTCAAAAGTCTGGTCTCTTTATGTGCATGGGGGCACAATTCCAATGCTGAGGGCACGTGGCCTGGTAAGCCCCAGGGAGGGGGGGATGCTCGTTTGTCCATCCCCCCCTTTCCTGGCCTGCCATGCCTGTACTCGGATCAAGGGTCTGGTAGGAATTTAGGGGGAACCTCCACGCACTTCTTTCCCCCAATGTTGGGAGGTGGGGTTCCCCTTAAACGTCCTACCAGGCCTAAAGGGTCTGGTATGGCGTTTAGGGGGAACCCCATGCACTTTTAAAAAAACATTTTTTTTACTGCGGGGTCCCTCCAAACCTTCCTACCAGACCTAAAGGGGTTTATTTACTAAAGCTGGAGAGTCCAAAATCAGACTCCCTTCTGCATAGAAACCAATCAGCTTCTAACCTCAGCTTGTTCAATGAAGCTTTGGCAATGAAACCTGGAAGCTGATTGGTTTCTATGCAGAAGTGAGTCTGATTTTGGACTCTCCAGCTTTAGTAAATAAACCCCAAAGGGTCTGGTATAGATTAGGGGGGAAACACCATACTGTTTTTTTTTTTTAAAAAATGTTATTTTTTTTAACCACTTCAAGTCCGGACATTTTTACCCCCTTCCTGTCCAGGCCAGCTTTCAGTGCTATCACACTTTGAATGACAATTGCGCGGTCATGCAACACTACTGGGATTTTTATTTTTTTTTGCTCTGTAAATGAAAGTCCAACAATTTTGAAAAAAAGTGTTTTTCTTATAAAATTTTGCAAATATATAATATTTCATCATAAATCTTGTCCAAAATGAATTCCATTAACTTTTGAGTAAAAAAAAATAACCCAAATTAGTGTATAACCAAAAATTATAATTTTTATTTTTTGTTTTTTACATTTTCATTTTTTTTTTATATTATTATTTATTTTTTTACATACTGCCACCCTAGCAGTATGTAACTGTGTTTGCCGAATCTGTACATTTTATGCACAGCCTGAAAATCTAGCTCATTGAGGGCTGCTCCTCTCCCTCTCTGGGCCCCTCAATGAAAGGTGTGTGCTCAGAGTCTGGAAGGGATATGGCATCTGCCTCAGCTCCGTATTCTGACCCAGTTTTCTGCTTTGTCTCTAAATGGTCTGCATCCTCCACTGCTGTATCCTGACCCTATAACTCAGTCAGAATTCTGGTGTAATATATGTCCTCAGGATTGTCTTTCCCTGCTGGGCAGGTAGACTTACTTTTGGTGCCAGTGTCCCGTGGTTTATCAGCTCCGCGTGGTGTTCTCTGAGGTAGAGTGGCAGCCACACCATGTTGGGTGTCTAGGGCCGCAGCATCTTGCTTGTTTTTGTGGGTCATATCCATATGGACCGTGGGTCACTGGGCACTGCTGAATACCTTGCAGGGAGCAGAGTTGATTGGTGCCAGTGTCAAGCAGGAAGGCAGCTGGGGAGAGGATCGGTAGCAGGATATATAACTGGAGCTCCGTGAGGCAGGTCTGCTCACATGCCTGGTATGGTCACGCCCCCAAAAAATTATTATTATTTTTTTTTTTTAATCCTTTATTTAAAGGATTGCAACAGATAACAAGAAATGTATCGACTCCATAAACATGTCCGACATTACAGCTTTGTAAGGTACATTGTGGAGGACAAATATAAAAATATATGCATAAAAACCTACTATGCATAGATACAGATATACATACACTTTGAAATCTAATAGGATAAAACCTTTTTCTGTATTCAATATGTAGCAATGCCATTTGAGTCAAATATGTCCGTAGATAACTCGGAGCGTGCATATCCCAAACATATTTTTAAATTTTTTTCTAAGACAGAGAGAGAAGGAAGAAAAAAGAGAATGGAAAGATGAAACAACAAAAAAAAAGGGGGGGGGGGGGGGGGAGGGAGGTGGAAAGGGGGGAGAGGATCACCTCTGAGGGAACTCGGGGGAGGCGTGTCTCTACTTCCATCCATTTAGAAAGCGGATCGAAGGAGACTACGCTAGTCACACGTATTGCATCAGAGAAACAAAAGATATTCCAATAGGACCATCTGGTCTTATGTTCCTCTGTTGTGTCTCGCAGGGTTGAGGTTAGGTCCTCCAGTTGTTCTATATCATTCACCCTTGCAAGCCATTGGGCGACTGTTGGGGGGATTGTTGTTTCCATAAGATAGAAATGCAGGCCCATGCTACAATCAACAGGTGTTTTACTAAAGATTTGTGATACCGCTGATGCGATAGGGGAGTTAGATTGAGCAAAATCGCAGCAGGATTATCTTGTAGTGAGATGTCCGTATATTTTTGAATAAGGTGGAGCACAGGTTGCCAAAAGGTTTGAAGTTTGGGATATTCCAAAAATATATGTAAGAGAGTACCTACAGATGAACCACATCTCCATCAACAATCACTTTGTTGAGTGTACAGTTTCACAAGGACCGACGGGGTCCTGTACCAACTAGTCACTATATTGTAAGTAGTCTTGTGGTATTTGTTGCATAGGGATGATTTATGTGCAAAGAAAAGTATTTGTTTCTTTTGGGAGTTAGAGAAAGTGACCTGTAAGTCTCGTTCCCATTTAGCCAAGTGGTGGTGGTGGGAGGGGGGGGGTCAGACTGAGCGTTGAGTTCTAGAAGGTATTCGAAGAGGGCTTTGGATCGGGCCTTCTCCCAAGCACATCTTTTGGAATGCATGTAACTTTCTAGGGAAAAGTGGAATTTTAGGTAGAAAATATAGAAAGTGAGATAGCTGGAGGGTCTTCCAACAATCTGTGATAGAGGTAGACAGGCTGGGAAACAAGGTACTTAGCGAGACCCACCCAGTGGGATGTAGAAATTAAGATGCACGCATTAGACCCTGGGAGGACAGGGATTGGAAGCTAGAATCAGTAAGCCCAGCTAGGAATCCTGGGTGGCCTAAGATTGGCATCATGGGAGAGGGGAAGCTCTCCAAAGATGCCAATATGAAAAATCTGTTCACTTCGGCCAACACGGGACCTATTAGTGGGTGAGTAGTAAGTTGGGATACGTGTTGCCTTCCTGCCCATGGAAGTCCTGCAAGCGGGGCCCCTGCCATTTCCTGTTCCAATGTGACCCATAATTTGTACTTCTGGTGTCTACACCAGTCCATCACTCTGGTCATTTGAACGGCTGTATACCATAGTGCTGGGTCCGGGAAGCCTATGCCATCTCTCAATTTGGGTCTCCGTAACAAATTTCTACTTAAGCACGGATGTTTACCATGCCAAACAAACTGAGTGAAGGCAGAGCGCACAGAGTGGTAGAAAGCGTGTGGCAATTTAATTGGTAGGGTCTGTAATAAGTATATTAACGGTGGCATAACATTCATCTTCAACACATTACAATGACCAAATCACGATAAGGCAAGGGAATCCCGTTTATCTAGGTCAGCTGATAGTACCGTCAAGAGAGGTTTGTAGTTAAGGGGTTAGACTGCGTCTAGGTGTGCTGGGATTTTGGTCCCCAAGTATTGTATAATATGTATAACCCATTTCAATGGAAAGTAAGGGCGAAATCTAGCAATCATTAAGGCAGAGAGGGACTGTCAGGAATGGACTTGCCAATAATGGTGGGACTCACCTGCCTTGTGGGCTGCAGTACCAGGGCTGGCCAGCGGGTGCTCTCAGCAATCAGAGACTCACCCCTGCAGTCAGCCAAACACCTGAAGCTGATTGCAGGGGTTGTATTTAAGGAATGGCCAGACTCACAGTCAGGGCCTTGGTGTATGTTTTTCCATGGGCCCCTGTATCTTGTATCCTGTGTTTCTGCCTGACTTGTTGCCGACCCTGCCTGATCCTGACCTCTGCTGACTTCTCCTGTTTGATCCCTGGCTTGTGACCCTGACCATTCTCTGCCTGACCCTCTGCACCACGCTGCCCGTGAGTTACTGAACCCAGCTTGTGACCCCGACCACTCTCCCGCCTGTTCCTGGTACTCCGTTTGCTCGTTTGCTACTGACCCGGCCTGCCTGATGACTCTTGCATTGTATGTATTGTTATCTATAGGTGGTTTGATTTGGTTTGTTTGCACTGTGTTTATGTTTAGCTTTGCACTGCGTTTTGTATTGTTAGTCTTAATAAATCATATTGTTTATACCATATCTGAAGCCTGCGTTTCCCTGTGTCAGTCCACACACCTCTGGTCATACCCGGAGCCCTGACATTACACCAAGGCCAATCCTGACCAGAAGTGGCTGCACAGGGAAGCCATCTTGGCTTATTGTTGCTGGGTAGGATGGATCTTGATGAGGTGGTGTATTTATCTCTGCTAGTGTTTGATGACAAAGACTATGCTTATCAGACTCTGAAGGAGTATCCCAGGGATCAACTACTAGAGTATATAAGGATCGCTCATTGCCTAGTAGATCAGGGCACAGAGTTTTCTGAGTTTCAGCCATTGATCCAGGTTTGTGCTGAGTTGGCTCGGTCCTGTACCACTGAAAGCAGATGACTTTTTTCCCCCATTTAGTGTGGATCAAGTATAATCACTGGTATGGTTGTTGGAGAATGATCCAGATTGCTTCCATGAGCATTATGCAGCTTGTCCATCACATGTGCTTATGGATTGCATAAACGCAGTGCAGTCTTTGATCAGACAGGCTATGTGTAAACTGAGTTTTGTTCAACCAGTACTGCAGACATGGACAGATTTGTTGCACACAGCCTCAGTCAGCTTGCAACATCATTCCTCTGCTCAAGGCACTCTTCCTGCATCCCCGACAGCACCCCCAGTGACGGCCCAGTATACTCTGCTAACTACCACATACCAGTCCCCTGCTCCCACTCGCTGCACCTATCCTTTCTTTAACCCTGTAAAGAAGTCCTCTGTAGCAACTGCTCCCTCCTCTGTTCCATCCTCCAGCTCTTCTCGGTCTTTAGCTGCTCCATTCGTTTACAGACCTGCGTTTACTTACAGTGCTCCAGTAACTAAAACCAGAAAAAAGCGAAAATTCTTTCCAACCAGTACCATCCTGCCAGTATCCAAACCGGTCAGCCTGCCGTCTGAGAACCCACCTTCCGTGGTTCAGCCTGGTGCCTCGGCACCCGCAATTCAGCCTGATATCTCTACCCAGTCTGATGTCTGTACCCAGCCTGATGAACTGATCCAGCCTGATGATCCTATCATGCCAGGTGACGCGGTGCCCGCTGTCATGCCTGGTGACCCGATGCCCGCTATCGAGCCAGACGATCCAATGCCTGATGACCCAGTGCCCGCTGTCGTGTCTGGTGACCCGATGCCCGCTGTCGAGCCAGACGATCCAATGCCTGGTAACCCAGTGCCCGCTGTCCTGCCTGGTGACCTGATTCCCACTGTCTTGCCAGATGACTCGGTGCCTGCTGTCGAGCCAGATGACCTGAAGCCTGGTGACCCGATACCCGCTGTCGAGCCAGACGATCCAATGCCTGATGACCCAGTGCCCGCTGTCATACCTGGTGACCCAATGCCTGCTGTCGAGCCAGATGACCCCGGTGCCCGCTGTCGTGCCAATTGACTCAGAGCCCGCTGTCGTGCCTGGTGACTCGGTGCCCACTGCCTTGCCAGATGACTCGGTGCCCGCTGTCGAGCCAGATGACCTGATGCCTGGTGACCCGATGCCCGCTGTCGAGCCAGACGATCCAATGCCCGATGACCCAGTGCCTGCTGTCATGCCTGGTGACCCGATGCCCGCTGTCGTGCCTGATGACTCGATGCCCGCTGTCGAGCCAGATGATCCAATGCCTGATGACCCAGTGCCCGCTGTCGTGCCTGATGACCCGATGCCCGCTGTCGAGCCAGATGATCCAATGCCTGATGACCCAGTGCCCGCTGTCATGCCTGGTGACCCGATGCCCACTGTCTTGCCAGATGACTCGGTGCCTGCTGTCGAGCCAGATGACCTGAAGCCTGGTGACCCGATACCCGCTGTCGAGCCAGACGATCCAATGCCTGATGACCCAGTGCCTGCTGTCATGCCTGGTGACCCGATGCCCGCTGTCGTGCCTGATGACTCGATGCCCGCTGTCGAGCCAGACGATCCAATGCCTGATGACCCAGTGCCCGCTGTCATACCAGGTGACCCGATGCCCGCTGTCGAGCCAGACGATCCAATGCCTGATGACCCAGTGCCCGCTGTCATGCCTGGTGACCCGATGCCCACTGTCTTGCCAGATGTGCCAGTCTTTGATATCCTGCCAGTTACCGGACCCGGGCGGTGGAACATTTTGCCCAGCTAGGACTGTTTGGAGCGTCCTGAGGCCGCTCCTTGAGGGGGGGGGGTACTGTCAGGAATGGACTTGCCAATAATGGTGGGACTCACCTGCCTTGTGGGCTGCAGTACCAGGGCTGGCCAGCGGGTGCTCTCAGCAATCAGAGACTCACCCCTGCAGTCAGCCAAACACCTGAAGCTGATTGCAGGGGTTGTATTTAAGGAATGGCCAGACTCACAGTCAGGGCCTTGTGTGTGTGTTTTTTTCATGGACCCCTGTATCTTGTATCCTGTGTTCCTGTTTCTGCCTGACTTGTTGCCGACCCTGCCTGATCCTGACTTCTCCTGTTTGATCCCTGGCTTGTGACCCTGACCATTCTCTGCCTGACCCTCTGCACCGCGCTGCCCATGAGTTACTGAACCCAGCTTGTGACCCCGACCACTCTCCCGCCTGTTCCTGGTACTCCGTTTGCCCGTTTGCTACTGACCCGGCCTGCCTGACGACTCTTGCATTGTATGTATTGTTATCTGTAGGTGATTTGATTTGGTTTGTTTGCACTGTAATTATGTTTAGTTTTGCACTGCGTTTTGTATTTGTTAGTCTTAATAAATCATATTGTTTATACCATATCTGAAGCCTGCGTTTCCCTGTGTCAGTCCACACACCTCTGGTCATACCCAGAGCCCTGACAGGGACACATTTAAAGCTTCTGACGTTTGAAACATAACTTTAAAATTGGAGAATGTGCTGTATTTTTCCAAGTCAAGAGGAGAGAGGGTAAGGAAGTAAGGGGGCTGCTGACATAGAAAAGCAAATTGTCGTATTGGCCGCTACCTTATGGTGGTAATCTTTCGTAAGCACACCCTGGACAGCACTGTTGTGTTTAATGTGTTGAAGAAATGGTTCCAAAGTAAGGATGAACAATAGGGGTGACAGTGGACAGCGCTGTCTAGTTCCATTGGATATCATAAATGGACCTGAATTGAATCCATTTACGTGAACAGTATCAGATGGGTTAGTGTATAATATGGAGACTCATGACAGCATTTGAGCCCGTAAACTTATCTGTCGCAAAGTTTCCAAAAGGAAACTCCAACTTACTCTGTCAAATGCTTTTTCTGCATTAGTGGACTGGAGTAAAAGCGGGGTATGTGATCTTTGCACCTTGGCAAAGATATTGAGGGTACTTATGGTGTTATCTCAGGCCTCTCATGTTGGGACAAATCCTACCTGTTCTAATGAAATAATACGGGGCAACAAAGGGGACAATCGCATTGCGATTATTTTGGTGAAGAGCTTCATATCACAATTCAGGAGTGAAACGGGTCTGTAGCTACCACAAAGTAGCGGATCCTTAACCAGTTTGGGAATAACAGATATGCTAACGTGCAGAAGATCTGATAGCATTAACCACCCTAGCGGTAATCCCGGGTGTGGCTCGGGGTTCATTTTCAGTACCAAAAGCGGTAACCCTGAGTCACACTCGGGATAACACTGTAGTGTGTGTGTAGTGTAACTTACCTTGTCCCTGCGATCCCCCGTTGTCCTCCGGCCGATGTCCTCCGCCTTCCGGGTTCCCTTCCTTGCGAGCGCCATGACGCAGGAGGGGCAGAACCAGCCGGAGATTAAAAAAAGCAAAAACATGATGACATACACACAATACATTGTAATCTGTTAGGATTGCATTACTGTATCAAACTATTTCACCTTAGTTTTGTCCCTAGTGCTTTGTCCAGTGCCCTGCCTGCACTTTTACCCTTCTTTCTGCCTGGAAACTTGAGAACAACCATGGCATCCAAAAAGCGTCCCTTTAGGTCAAAATCGGTTTTAGACCACCTAGAAAACAGCGATAGTGAAATAGAATCACTTGCAGAATTGAGCAATAGTGATTCGTGGGGAAATTCGTCATCAGACAAGCAAAACAATGTACCGCTTTGACATTCAAAAATATTGACATAATCAGACCGCCAGGGAGGTTAAAGGCTGTGGTAAAATGGGGTGCTAGGATTGCCTGGAAGATTTAATAATAGGCTATGGTGAAACTATCTGGTCCTGGTGCCTTTCCAAGCTGGGTAGAGGCCATGGCTACAGCGAATTCCTCTGCTGAAATAGGTTGGGACAAAGTGTCTCTTTCTTCATCAGTAAGTGTTGGAAGGTTTGATTCCCGGATGTAGTGGCGCATATCCGTGAGCATCGTTGAGTTTGGATGAGTCGTCAAGGCTGGGTCCAGATTGTAAAGCGTAGACTAAAAGTCTCTAAAAGCTTTAGCTAGCTCCAGAGTAGAGTGAATCTTCGGGCCAGACAGAGATGACAGGACGAATACATAAACTCGAGGGCGGATACATAAGTTCGAGGTCATTTGACCCGCAGGACATTGGCCAACATGCGATCACATTTGTCGCCAAACTCATAGAAAGAGTGGCGGGCTTTCAATATGACATGTTTCGCTTCATAAAGAGTGTGCTCGCAAATAGATTCACGAACTCTCAAGAGGTCAGTTTCAACCATACGATCTAATCAGTCTTATGTGTGCGCTCCAGGATATGAAGCTGGGCCAGGAGGTCAGACAATGTTTTCGCCCTTTTATGCTTGGCTAAATGGCCATGTTTAATCAGAATCCCTCGTACAAAGCACTTATGGGGGACCATACTGAGAGCGGGTTATCTACAGAATTTACGTTGTTAGCAAAAAAATTTGTAAGTTCCTGAAGTATATCTGCAGCTATGATGGGGTCTTTCAAAAGGGACTCATTGAGTCACCAAGTCAATGATTTAGGCTGGGTCGTGTGTACCAATAGTTCCAATGTCAAGCACCTGTGGTAGTGAGCCCTTGTAGATTGCCAACTTGGGGTTCCCCAGGGCGTGAAGTCTAAGCCCCAGCCTACTTCATAACCAGAGCCCCTGATGGTGGGGATGGACTTGCAGCAAGCTAGAACCAGGTCGCAGCCCCCAGGTACACCCAGCTGAGGATGCGGAGACCGCTCGCTCGCGTGAGCAGAGTACAATGGCAGGAGATAACAGAAAATCCAATAGACAAGTTGAGGGAAATTTGGGACTCACACACCGATGAAGATCTGCAGCTACTTTGTACTTGGAAGCTGCCAGACGTAAATTCTGGTAAACCTCTGCCCAGATAGAATTGATCATCCTGTCTATGCAGCCGTGGGAATCGAAGAAGAGATGGGAACGGGAAATGGCACAGAAGGATGATGACCACACACTGTGAAAAAGGGAGACTCTCCAGTGCTGGCACTGGCACTGGCATGGTTGTTAAGGGCAAGCTCTGCCCAGGGTAGAAGGTCTACCTAAAATAAAGGAACAAATAAACCGTTCAACATTCTGGTTGACCCTTTCAGTTTTGCCATTAGACTGTGGATGAAAGGCTGAGGAGAAGTCCAACTTAATTCTGAAGGATGTGGCCAGAGCCCTCCAGAAGCGAGCTGTAAATTTAACACCTCTATCAGAGACAATGTGTGAGGGCATACCATGAAGATGGAAGATTTCCTTAATGAAGTTGGAAGCCAACATGATGGCAGAAGGTAGTTCTGGAAGTGGAGTTAGGTGACACATTTTAGAAAACCTGTCCACAACCACCCAACCCTCTGAAGGGGGTAGTTCAGAAATAAAGTCCATGGAAATGCAACGCCAAGGTTCATCTGGAACAGGTGGAGGTAAAAGAAGACCTGCTGGGGCAGACGTAGAGGATTTAGACTACACACAAATAAAGCAAGCCTGAACATATTCTTCAACATACTTCCGCAGTGAGGGCACCATTAATGATGTTGCAGGAAGGAACAGGTGCGTTGCACACCAGGATGTCCAGAGAGTTTAGAGTTGTGTGCCCATTTAAGTAGCTTGGAGAGAAGGGTGGGGACCAACAAAGATCTTTCCGGGTGAGATGCGTTTAGGCTGAAGATGAGTGGTGGCCAGGATACGATTGGCAGAAATGATCGGTTCCGGTTCAACATGACATTGAGAGTCAGCAACGTCAAATGATCTGGACAAGGCATCTGCATGGGCATTTTTGGAATCGGGCCGGAAGGTGTCAAGGTTATATCTGGCAAAGAAGAGAGACCATCGTGCTTGTCTAGGATTCAAAGGCCGGGTTGATTGGAGATACTTGAGGTTCTTATGATCAGTGTAAATCAGGATATGATGTGGAGATTCCTCCAGCACATGTCACCATTCTTGCAGTGCCAGCTTTATAGCCAGCAGTTCCCGATCCCCGATGGTGTAATTTCTTTCAGCATCCAAAAACGTCTTAGAGAAGAAGGTACAAGGAGGCAGCTTACCATCATGCATTTGGAGAAGAACGGCCCCCACTCCCAAAGATTAAGCATCTACCTCCAAGAAGAAAGGCTGGAAAATGTCCGGACGTATGAGAATAGATGCAGAGAGGAAGGTGGATTTTAGGTTTGTGGAATGCCTCGACTGCCTCAGGAGGCATTGGAACCCTTTCGGGTCAAAGAAGTAATTGGGGCCATCAGAGAGCAATAGTCAAGAATGAACTGGCGATAGAAGTTGGTGAATCCCATTAATGGGCTCCTAAAAGAACTCTCTGAACTTGAACAGATGCATAAAAGTAGAGTTACAAAAGAGATAATGCAGAGGGTAATAAATAAGAAAGAAGAACTAAATAATTTTATGGAAAAAGAAAAGAGAAGAATATTTAATAAAATAATAAGTGAGAGGTATAGATGGGAGATAGGCCAGGAAAGTATTTAATGAGGGCTCAGAGGAAAAAAATTCTAGGAACTATATAGAAAAAATAAGAGATCCCAAAGGAGAATTAGTACACTCAACCAAAGACATTGCTAGGGTGTTTAAAGAATATTATAGTAATTTATATAATATTATTATACCCCCCACAATTCTACAAATAATGACGAAATAGGAAAAACTGAAAAAAGACGGACA